CATGTGTGATTCAGCGGTGTGTTCCAGTCCCCTCCCAATCTTGTGTATTCAGGTGTTCCAATCCCCTCCATATCATCTGATTCGGTATTTCCAATCCCCTCCCAATCATGTGATTCGGGGTGTTCCCCTCAAATCCCCTCCCAAATCTTGTGATTCGGGTGTTCCAATCCCCTCCAATTCATCCCCAATCATGTGATTCGGTGTTCCATATCCCCTCCTCCATATCATGTGATTCGGGTGTTCCAATCCCCTCCATATCATGTGATTCGGGTGTTACCAATCCCTTCCTCCAGTCATGTGATTCGGGTGTTCCAATCCCCTCCCATCATGTGATTGGGGTGTTCCAATCCCCTCCCAGTCATGTGATTCGGGTGTTCCAATCCCTTCCAGTTCATGTGATTCGGGTGTTCAATCCCTTCCAGTTCATGTGATTCGGGTGTCTCCAGTCCCCTCCCAATCATGTGATTCGGGTGTTCCATCCCCTCCCAATCATGTGATTCGGGTTTCCAGTCCCCTCCCAATCATGTGATTCGGGTGTTCCATCCCCTCCCAATCATGTGATTCGGGTGTTCCAATTCCCTCCATATCATGTGGATTCGATGGTGTTCCAGTCCCCTCCATATCATGTGATTCGGGTGTTCAATCCCCTCCCCAATCATGTTATTCGGGTGTTCCAGTCCCCCCCCAATCATGTGATTCGGGTGTTCCAGTCCCCCCTCCCAATCATGTGATTCGGTGTTCCACTCCCCTCCATATCATGTGATTCAGGTGCTCCATATCCTCTCCCAATCATGTGATTCAGGTGCTTCCAATCCCCTCCCAATCATGTGATTCAGGTGTTCCAATCCTCCTCCTAATCATGTGATTCAGGTGTTATCAATCCCCCCCAAATCAATGTGATATCAGGTGTTACAATCCCCTCCATATCATGTGATTCGGGTGCGCCCCAATCCCCTCCATATCATGTGATTCGGGTGTTCCAACCCCTCCTATCATGTGACATCGGGTGTTCCAGCCTCCCCTCCATAGTCATGTGACTCGGGTGTTCCAATCCCCTCCATATCATGTGATTCGGGTGCTCCAATCCCCTCCCAATCATGTGATTCAGGCGGATTATCAAATCCCCCCCAATCATGTGATTCGGGTGTTACAATCCCCCCAAATCATGTGATTCGGGTGTTACAATCCCACTCATATCATGTGATTCGGTGCCCCAATCCCGTCCATATCATGTGATCTCGGTTGTTCATTCCCCTCCATATGCATGTGGTCCCGTGGTGTTCCAATCCCCTCCATAATCATAGCAATTCGGGTGTTCCAATCCCCCATATCATGCTGATTCAGGTCAATTCCAATCCCCTCCCATATCATGTGATTCAGGGTGTTCCAATCCCTCCAAGGACAAGCCACTGTGATACAAATACACTCCCCAAGTGGTAGCCCGAATGCTTCTTACAACATGGTCATAGAATGGTCACGTCTCAGCGCTCAGTGACTCCAAGCGTTGTCCCTGTGATAGGTGGCCACCTGGTCGCCAATAAGTCCATGTGATTCTGGTGTTAAATACATTCCCCTCCCAACTGTTAGTGATTATTCAAAAAATGTTTAGGCCACTCCCATGACAGGGCATATTCAGCGTGCTTCCATTGCGCTCTCCCAATCATTGTGATTCAGGGTGTCTCCAATCCCCTCCCAATCATGTGATTCAGGTGTGTTCCCAATTCCCTCCATATCATGTGATTCAGGTGCTCCAATCCTCTCCCAATCATGTGATTCAGTGTTCCAATCCCTTCCCAATCATGTGATTCAGTGTTCCAATCCCCTCCATATCATGTAATTCAGGTGCTCCAATCCCCTCCCATATCATGTGATTCAGGTGTTCCAATCCCCTCCCAATCATGTGATTCAGTGTTCCAATCCCTCCCAATCATGTGATTCAGGGGTGTTCCATCCCTCCACTATCATGTGAATTCAGGTGTTCCAATCCCCTCCATATCATGTGATTCAGGTGTTCCAATCCCCTCCCAATCATGTGATTCAGGTGTTCCAATCCCCTCCCAATCATGTGATTCCATGTTCCAATCCCCTCCCAATCATGTGATTCGGGTGTTCCAATCCCCTCCCAGTATCATGTGATTCGGGTGTTCCAATCCCCTCCCAATCATGTGATTCGGGTGTTCCAGTCCCCTCCCAATCATGTGATTCGGGGTGTTCCAGTCCCCTCCCAATCATGTGATTCGGTGTTCCAATCCCCTCCCAATCATGTGATTCGGGGTGTTTCCAATCCCCTCCCAATCATGTGATTCGGTGTTCCAATCCCCTCCAATCATGTGATTCGGGTGTTCCAGTCCCCTCCCAATCATGTGATTCGGGTGTTCCAGTCCCCTCCCAATCATGTGATTCGGGTGTTCCAGTCCCCTCCCAATCATGTGATTCGGTGTTTCCAGTCCCCTCCCAATCATGTGATTCGGGTGTTCCAGTCCCCTCCCAATCATGTGATTCGGGTGTTCCATCCCCTCCCAATCATGTGATTCAGGTGTTCCAGTCCCCTCCCAATCATGTGATTCAGGTGTTCCAATCCCCTCCATATCATGTGATTCAGGTGTTCCAATCCCCTCCAATCATGTGATTCGGGTGTTCCAATCCCCTCCCAATCATGTGATTCGGGTGTTCCAATCCCCTCCCCAATCATGTGATTCGGGTGTTCCAATCCCCTCCCATATCATGTGATTCGGGTGTTCCAATCCCTCCATATCATGTGATTCGGGTGTTCCAATCCCCTCCCATATCATGTGATTCAGGTGTTCCAATCCCCTCCCAATCATCGTGATTCAGGTGTTCCAATCCCCTCCTAATCATGTGATTCAGGTGTTACAATCCCCCCCAAATCATGTGATTCGGGTGTTGCCCAATCCCCTCCATATCATGTGATTCGGGTGTTCCAATCCCCTCCATATCATGTGATTCGGGTGTTCCAATCCCCTCCATATCATGTGATTCGGTGTGTTCCAATCCCCTCCATATCATGTGATTCGGGTGTTCCAATCCCCTCCCAATCATGTGATTCGGGTGTTACAATCCCCCCAATCATGTGATTCGGTGTTACAATCCCCTCCATATCCCCCCAATCCCCTCCATATCATGTGATTCGGGTGTTCCAATCCCTCCATATCAGTGATTCGGTGTTCCAATCCCCTCCATATCATGTGATTCGGGTGTTCCAATCCCCTCCATATCATGTGATTCAGGTGTTCCAATCCCCTCCATATCATGGATTCAGGTGTTTCCAATCCCCTCCCATGGACACAGGTGTATACAATCCATCCCCTAGGCATGCCGAATCTTCTACAAACAATGGTGAAAGAATGGGTCGCTCTCAGGAGCTCAGTGACACCAAGCGTGGTCCCGTGATAGGTGGCCACCTGGGCAATAAGTCCATCCGTGACATTTCCTGGCTACTAAATATTTCCACGCTCAACTGTTAGTGGGATTATAACAAAGTGGAAGCAACTGGGAACAACAGCCACTCAGCCACCAAGTGGTAGGCCACGTCACATGACAGGGCGGGGTCAGCGCATGCTGAAGCGCACAGTGCGCAGAAGTCGCCAACTGTCTGCAGAGCCAATAGCTAAAGACCTCCAAACTTGGTGTGGCCTTCAGATGAGCCCAACAACAGTGTGTAGAGAGCTTCATGGAATGGGTTTCCATGGCCGAGCAGCTGCATCCAAGCCTTCCATCACCAAGTGCAATGCAAAGCGTCGGATGCCGTGGTGTAAAGCACGCCGCCACTGGACTATAGAGCAGGGAAGGCGTGTTCTCTGGAGTGACCAATCACGCTTCTCTGTCTGGCAATCCGATGGATGTGTCTGGGTTTGGTGGTTGGCAGGAGAACGGTACTTGCCTGACTGCATTGTGCCAAGTGTAAAGTTTGGTGGAGGGGGATTATGGTGTGGGTGTGTTCCTCAGGGGTTGGGCTTGGCCCCCTAGTTCCCAGTGAAGGGAACTCTTAAGGCGACATTTTAAACAATTTCATGCTCCCAACTTCGTCGGAGGAGTTTGGGATGGCCCCTTCCTGTTCCAACATGACTGCCCACCAGTACACAAAGCAAGGTCCATAAAGACATGGAGGAGCCAGTTTGGGGTGGAGAACTTGACTGTCCTGCACAGAGTCCTGACCTCAACCCCATAGAACACCTTTGGATGAATTAGAGCGGAGACTGTGAGCCAGGCCTCCTCCCCCGACATCAGTGCCTCCTCCCCCGACATCAGTGCCCCTCCCCCGACATCAGTGCCTGACCTGACAAATGTGCTTCTGGAAGAATGGTCCAACCTTCCCATAGACACCCTCCTAAACCTTGTGGACGGCCTTCCCAGAAGAGTTGAAGCTGTTATAGCTGCAAAGGGCGGGGCCAACTCAATATTGAACCCTACGACTAAGACTGGGGGGCCATTAAAGGTCATGTGCGTGGAAAGGCGGGCCAATACCTGGGCAACATAGTGTGTGTGTGTGTGTCCCCCCAGTGCATTCAAAGTCAGTGTTTTTCATGATCCCAGAAGGCAAAGCTGCCCGCAGCCGGTCGCAATCTCTAAGAGCAGCGGACATGCACTGTACCGGGTAGTACTCATTTGGGGGCCATATTGTTCAGGACACACCCGGAATGAGGGCATTCTGCATATAGTGGCCCTAAACACAAGTACCCCCCTCAGCACAGCTGGAGCTCCCCTCCCCCCTCCCCCCGCGTCATATCACACGCCGCACGCTTCTCTTACATCCACAGAACATTTTATTTTCTTCACAATTTAGTGTACAAAATAATAATAATACAAAAAAAAAAAATAATTGGGGCCCCCCCCGATGAAGGGGCGGGGCAGGCGAGACAGGATGGAGGCAAAGAAGAGCGCGGCTGGAGCGTAACACTGTCCGAGGATGGAGGGGGGGGGGGGGATCTGATCCGGGAATGTAGTCACATGACAGGAAACACATGAGCGGGGGTCACAGGTCACTCCAGGGACTGCAGCATCAGCAGCTGCTTCAGGACTTTCGTCTGGCTGGTTTCCCGGATCTCTCCGGCGAGAAACATCTCATCCACCACCGTGTAAACCTGTGAGGAAAGAAGTGCGTGAGCGAGCGGCAGAGCGCCGTGACCCCCCCCACACACACACACACAGACGGGCGGGGGGGGGGGCACACTCACCTTGTAGAAGTTGAACACCAGGTCCAGCTCACACACGTTGTGGAAATATTCATTCAGCACCTAAAGAAAGGAATCGGAAGACGGTCAATAAAACCCCAAACCAACCAATCACAGGTCAGGATTCATCAGACCTGCCCACAAGAGCGAGTTTCTGATTGGACAATCCGGCCATATACAGGAAGACATCAAATGCGGCCGAATATCCCCCAACTGTCCCTATTTATCGCACCCTCACATTAGGGCAATGATGACCTCACCCCCGCACCCGGGCAATAATGAGCCCGCCCCCGCACCCGGGCAATAATGAGCCCGCCCCCGCACCCGGGCAATAATGAGCCCGCCCCCCCCGCACCCGGGCAATAATGAGCCCGCCCCCGGGCAATAATGAGCCCGCCCCCGGGCAATAATGAGCCCGCCCCCGCACCCGGGCAATAATGAGCCCGCCCCCGCACCCGGGCAATAATGAGCCCGCCCCCGCACCCGGGCAATAATGAGCCCGCACCCGGGCAATAATGAGCCCGCCCCCGGGCAATAATGAGCCCGCCCCCCGCACCCGGGCAATAATGAGCCCGCACCCGGGCAATAATGAGCCCGCCCCCGCACCCGGGCAATAATGAGCCCGCCCCCGCACCCGGGCAATAATGAGCCACCCCCGCACCCGGGCAATAATGAGCCCGCCCCCCCCGCACCCGGGCAATAATGAGCCCGCCCCCGCACCCGGGCAATAATGAGCCCGCCCCCGCACCCAGGCAATAATGAGCCCGCACCCAGGCAATAATGAGCCCGCCCCCGCACCCGGGCAATAATGAGCCACCCCCGCACCCGGGCAATAATGAGCCACCCCCGCACCCGGGCAATAATGAGCCACCCCCGCACCCAGGCAATAATGAACCACCCCCGCACCCGGGCAATAATGAGCCACCCCCGCACCCGGGCAATAATGAGCCACACCCGGGCAATAATGAGCCCACCCCCGCACCGGGGCAATAATGAGCCCGCACCTGGGCAATAATGAGCCCACCCGGCAATAATGAGCCCCCACCCCCGCACCCGGGCAATAATGAGCCCCCCCCCGCACCCGGGCAATAATGAACCCGCACCCGGGCAATAAGGAGCCCACCCCCGCACCCGGACAATAAGGAGCCCCACCCCCGCACCCGGGCAATAATGAGCCTCCCCCGCAACCGGGCAATAATGAACCACCCCCGCACCCGGGCAATAATGAGCCCCCCCCCCGCACCGGGGCAATAATGAGCCACCATCCCCCCCGCACCCGGGCAATAATGAGCCTCCCCCCGCACCCAGGCAATAATGAGCCACCCCCCGCACCCGGGCAATAATGAGCCACCCCCGCACCCGGGCAATAATGAGCCGCACCCGGGCAATAATGAGCCCACCCCCGCACCGGGCAATAATGAGCCCGCACCTGGGCAATAATGAGCCCACCCGGGCAATAATGAGCCCACCCCCGCACCCGGGCAATAATGAGCCCACCCCCGCACCCGGGCAATAATGAACCCGCACCCGGGCAATAAGGAGCCCACCCCCCGCACCCGGACAATAAGGAGCCCACCCCCGCACCCGGGCAATAATGAGCCACCCCCGCACCCGGGCAATAATGAGCCCATCCCAGCACCCGGCAATAATGAGCCCATCCCAGCACCCGAGCAATAATGAGCCACCCCCGCACACGGGCAATAATGAGCCACCCCCGCACACGGGCAATAATGAGCCCACCCCCGCCCCTGGGCAATAATGAGCCCACCCCCGCACCCGGGCAATAATGAGCCCACCCCCGCACCCGGGCAATAATGAGACCCACCCCCGCACCCGGGCAATAATGAGCCCACCCCCGCACCCGGGCAATAATGAGCCCACCCCCGCACCTGGGCAATAATGAGCCCGCACCCGGGCAATAATGAGCCCGCCCCCACGCCCGGGCAATAATGAGCAATCCCCGCACCCGGGCAATAATGAGCCCATACCAGCACCCGGGCAATAATGAGCAATCCCCGCACCCGGGAAATAATGAGCCACCCCCGCACCTGGGCAATAATGAGCAATCCCTGCACCCAGGCAATAGTGAGCTCGCCCCCCCCCCCCCCCGGCAATAGTGAGCTCGCCCCCCGCCCCCCCCCCCCCCCGGCAATAGTGAGCTCGCCCCCCCCACCGCGGCAATAGTGAGCTCGCCCCTCCCCACGCCAGCAATAGTGAGCTCGCTCCCCCCACCCCCGGCAATAGTGAGCTCGCCCCCCCCCACCCCGGCAATAGTGAGCTCGCCCCTCCCCACCCCGGCAATAGTGAGCTCACCCCTCCCCACCCCGGCAATAGTGAGCTCGCCCCTCCCCACCCCGGCAATAGTGAGCTCACCCACCCCCCCAATAGTGAGCTCACCCACCCCCCCCCCCCACCCCGGCAATAGTGAGCTCACCCACCCCCCCCCACCCCCGGCAATAGTGAGCTCACCCCCCCCACCCCAGCAATAGTGAGCTCGCCCCCGCACCAATAATGAAATCAAATTATCTGAACACCCCTCCCCTCCCCACCGTGCCCCTGGAGCTCCTCACCTCTACAAAGTTGTGAATGGCCTCCAGGTAGGCCAGGTTATTGTCCGTCACATCCACGCAGATACAGAAGTACAGGCCGGCGTATCGCCGGTAGATGATCTTGAAGTTCCGGAACTGTAATAGAAATTGGCTGTAATTAAAACCGACTACGGTGCGGCGTACGGAGGTTCCGGTCCTGGGAGCGGGCCCCGCGTGTACTGGGGAGCAGTCATGTCTGTGACCCCACACAGCACCCTGGCCTAATTCAGCTGTCAGTCCAGCCAGAGGGGGCGGGGATATGTCACCACCCACGTATGTACAATGCCCATATATGGGAAATGGCTTTCTGCTTGGTGGGCGTGGAGGGGAGCGGGGGCCGCCTAGCTGGGGAGGAGGGGAGCGGGGGCCGCCTAGCTGGGGAGGAGGGGAGCGGGGGCCGCCTAGCTGGGGAGGAGGGGAGCGGGGGCCGCCTAGCTGGGGAGGAGGGGAGCAGGGGCCGCCGCCTAGCTGGGGAGGAGGGGAGCGGGGGCCGCCTAGCTGGGGAGGAGGGGAGCGGGGGCCGCCTAGCTGGGGAGGAGGGGAGCGGGGGCCGCCTAGCTGGGGAGGAGGGGAGCGGGGGCCGCCTAGCTGGGGAGGAGGGGAGCGGGGGCCGCCTAGCTGGGGAGGAGGGGAGCGGGGGCCGCCTAGCTGGGGAGGAGGGGAGCGGGGGCCGCCTAGCTGGGGAGGAGGGGAGCGCGGCCCCCTAGCTGGGAAGAGGACACCCCATACCCCCCTTCCCAACAGAGGCTCCACCCCCACACATGTCTGTATGTACACAAGCCCCTCTGAAAGCTCCACCCCCGCTCATGTCCAGATGTAATCCCGCCCCTGCAGAGCCCGGCACTGGCGCCGTGGCATTACCTCCACGAAGTTGGTGTGTTTGGCGTCTCGGACGGTCACCACGGCGTGGACCTCCTCAATCAGCTTCTGCTTCTCGTCGTCATCGAACTGCATGTACCACTTGGCCAGGCGAGTCTTCCCGGCCCGGTTCTGGATGAGGATGAAGCGGATCTGAAGGGGGGAGACGGGGGAGGGGATGGTTATACAGAAAGTCACATGACCTGGTACTGCCATAGGCGGGGAGTCTGAAGAGGATCTGACAGCCAATCAGATGGAGAGAAAACTTCTGGAACAAAGACAGCATGGTCAGCATGTTCCTATGAGCTGCACTGTGCAGGAAAACATGACAACCATAGGGGGAGGGGGGGGGGTACAATGTATCCATATAGAGGGGGGGGGGTACAATGTATCATATAGAGGGGGGGGGGGGGGGTACAATGTATCATATAGAGGGGGGGGGGGTACAAGTATCAAATGGAAGGGTACAATGTATCACATGGGGGGAGGGGATGTACAGTGTGTCATATGGAGGGAGGAGATAGGGGTACAATGTATCATATGGGGGGAGGGGGGGTAAAATGTATCATATGGGGGGGTACAATGTATCATATAGGGGGGAGGAGATGGGGGGTACAATGTATCATATGGGGGGGAGGGGGGGTACAATGTATCATATGGGGGGGAGAGATGGGGGTACAATGTATCATATGGGGGTGAGGGGGGGTAAAATGTATCATATGGGGGGGTACAATGTATCATATGGGGGGGAGGAGATGGGGGTACAATGTATCATATAGGGGGGAGGAGATGGGGGGTACAATGTATCATATGGGGGGGGGGGGGGGGTACAATGTATCATATGGGGGGGAGGAGGGGGGTACAATGTATCATACTGTAGGAGGGGGGTGTTAAATACAATGTATCATCTCAGTATGATATCTTCTCTCTCACCCCCCCCCCCAGCAGATAATGACACACAATGCCCCCCCTCCCCCCCGGTGACATTCGGTGATCCCGGCACTCCCCGCTCACCATGTCTCTCTCTCTTCTCTTTCCTGTCAGCCGCCCGGAATTCACAGAACTACAATTCCCAGAGGACAGTGCGAGGAGCCGCCGGAAGAGACGCTTACGTCAATTCCGCTCCACCTTACTGTACATCCGGCATGTTCGGGGAGTCTCCGCCCACCGTTAGAACCGCCCTTCGGGATTCTCCTGTGTGTGCCGGGCGCGGCCGGCCAGCAGGTGGCGATCTCTGACCTCAATGTGGATATCTATATACTGTATACACTATATTGCCCCAAGTATTGTCCCCCCCCCCCCCCCCGTATATACACTATATTACCCCAAGTATTGTCCCCGCCCCCCGTATACAACACTATATTGCCCCAAGTATTCTCCCCGCCCCCCCCCGTATATACACTATATTGCCCCAAGTATTCTCCCCCCCCGCCCCCCCCGTATATACACTATATTGCCCCAAGTATTCTCCCCCGCCCCCCCCGTATATACACTATATTGCCCCAAGTATTGTCCCCAGCCCCCCCAATATACACTATATTGCCCCAAGTATTCTCCCCGCCCCCCCGTATATACACTATATTGCCCCAAGTATTGTCCCCGCCCCCCCGTATATACACTATATTGCCCCAAGTATTGTCCCCGCCCCCCCCGTATATACACTATATTGCCCCAAGTATTGTCCCCGCCCCCCGTATATACACTATATTGCCCCAAGTATTGTCCCCGCCCCCCCGTATATACACTATATTGCCCCAAGTATTGTCCCCGCCCCCGTATATACACTATATTGCCCCAAGTATTGTCCCCGCCCCCCCCCGTATATACACTATATTGCCCCAAGTATTGTCCCCGCCCCCCCCGTATATACACTATATTGCCCCAAGTATTGTCCCCCCCCCCGTATATATACACTATATTGCCCCAAGTATTGTCCCCCCCCCCTATATACACTATATTGCCCCAAGTATTGTCCCCCCCCCGTATATACACTATATTGCCCCAAGTATTGTCCCCCCCCCGTATATACACTATATTGCCCCAAGTATTGTCCCCCCCCCCGTATATACACTATATTGCCCCAAGTATTGACCCCTCCCCCCGTATATACACTATATTGCCCCAAGTATTGTCCCCCCCCCTGTATATACACTATATTTGCCCCAAGTATTGTCCCCCCCCCCGTATATACACTATATTGCCCCAAGTATTGTCCCCCCCCCGTATATACACTATATTGCCCCAAGTATTGTCCCCCCCCCGTATATACACTATATTACCCCAAGTATTGTCCCCCCCCCGTATATACACTATATTTGCCCCAAGTATTGTCCCCCGCCCCCCCCCGTATATACACTATATTGCCCCCAAGTATTGTCCCCCCCCCATATAATACACTATATTGCCCCAAGTATGTCCGCCCCCCCCCCGTATATACACTATATTATTGCCCCAAGTATTGTCCCCGCCCCCCCCCGTATATACACTATATTACCCCAAGTATTGTCCCCCGCCCCCCGTATATACACTATATTGCCCCCAAGTATTGTCCCCGCCCCCCCCGTATATACACTATAATTGCCCCAAGTATTCCTCCCTCCCCGCCCCCCCCCGTATATACACTATATTTGCCCCAAGTATTGTCCCCCGCCCCCCCGTATATACACTATATTGCCCCAAGTATTGTCCCCGCCCCCCCCGTATATACACTATATTGCCCCAAGTATTGTCCCCGCCCCCCCCGTATATACACTATATTGCCCCAAGTATTGTCCCCCCCCCCCGTATATACACTATATTGCCCCAAGTATTGTCCCCGCCCCCCGTATATACACCTATATTGCCCCCAAGTATTGTCCCCCCCCCCCCCGTAATATACACTATATTTGCCCCAAGTATTGACCCCCCACCCCCCCCGTATATACACTATATTGCCCCAAGTATTGTCCCCCGCCCCCCCCTATATACACACTATATTGCCCCAAGTATTGTCCCCCCCCCCCGTATATACACCTATATTGCCCCAAGTATTGTCCCCGCCCCCCCCGTATATACACTATATTGCCCCAAGTATTGTCCCCCCCCGTATATACACTATATTGCCCCAAGTATTGTCCCCCCCCCCAGTATAATATACACTATATTGCCCCAAGTATTGTCCCACCCCCCCCCCCCCGTATATACACACTATATTGCCCCCAAGTATTGTCCCCCCCCCCCCGTATATACACTATATTGGCCCCAAGTATTGTCCCCCCCCGTATATACACTATATATTGCCCCAAGTATTGTCCCCGCCCCCATATATACACTATATTGCCCCAAGTATTGTCCCCCCCCCGTATATATACACTATATTGCCCCAAGTATTGTTCCCCCCCCCCCCGTATATACACTATATTGCCCCAAGTATTGACCCCCCCCCCCGTATATACACTATATTACCCCAAGTATTGTCCCCCCCCCCGTATATACACTATATTGCCCCAAGTTATGTCCCCCCCCCCCGTATATACACTATATTACTCCCAAGTATTGTCCCCCCCATATACACTATATTACCCCAAGTATTGTCCCCCCCCCGTATATACACTATATTGCCCCAAGTATTGTCCCCCCCCCCATATATACACTATATTACCCCAAGTATTGTCCCCCCCCCCCCCCGTATATACACTATATTGCCCCAAGTATTGTCCCCGCCCCCCCCATATATACACTATATTGCCCCAAGTATTGTCCCCCCCCCCATATACACTATATTACCCCAAGTATTGTCCCCCCCCCGTATATGAACACACTATATTACCCCCCAAGTATTGTCCCCCCCCCCCCGTATATACACTATATTGCCCCAAGTATTGTCCCCCCCCCCCGTATATACACTATATACCCCAAGTATTGTCCCCCCCCCATATATACACTATATTGCCCCAAGTATTGTTCCCCCGCCCCCGTATATACACTATAGTTGCCCCAAGTATTGTCCCCCCCCCCGTATATACACTATATTGCCCCAAGTATTGTCCCCCCCCCCGTAATATACACTATAATTGCCCCAAGTATTGTCCCCCCCCCCCCCCGTATATACACTATATTGCCCCAAGTATTGTCCCCCCCCCCGTATATACACTATAATTGCCCCAAGTATTGTCCCCCCCCTCAGGTATATACACTATATTTTGCCCCAAGTATTTGTCCCCCCCCCCGTATATACACTATATTGCCCCAAGTATTGTCCCGCCCCCCCCGTATATACACTATATTGCCCCAAGTATTGTCCCGCCCCCCCGTAATATACACTATATTGCCCCAAGTATTGTCCCCCCCCGTAATATACACTATATTACCCCAAGTATTGTCCCCCCAGCCCCCCCGTAATACACTTAATTCGCCCCAAGTATTGTCCCGCCCCCCCCGTATATACACTATAGGCTTTACCCCAATTATTGTCCCCACCACCGTATATACACTATATTGCCCCAAGTATTGTCCCCCCCCCCAAATATACACTATATTGCCCCAAGTATTGTACCCGCCCACCCGTATATACACTATATTGCCCCAATATTGTCCCCCCCATATATACCCGCCAATATTTCCCCCCCCGTATATACAACTATATTGTCCCCAAGTATTAGTACAGCTATATTACCCAAGTATTGTCCCCCCCCCCCCGTATATACACTATATTGCCCCAAGTATTGTCCCCCCCCTGTATATACACTATAATTGCCCCAAGTATTGTCCCCGCCCCCCCATATATACACTATATTGCCCTAGTATGTGCCCCATATATACACTATATTGCCCCAAGTATATGCCCCCCCCATATATACACTATATTGCCCCAAGTATTGTTCCCCGGCCCCCCCGTAATACACTATAATTGCCCCAAGTATTGTAATATACACAAAATTGCCCCCCCCCCCCCGTATATACACTATATTGCCCCAGTATTGTCCCCGCCCCCCCCGTATATACACAATAATGCCCCAAGTATTG